AACATCCATGGCTGTGGAAGAAGATTTTTCAAGTTGCCCAAGGACAAAAACCTCAGGAAAACATAAAGCCGTCTTCAGAGAGACAAGTGTGAGAGGAAAAGAGAGTAGAGAGTAGGACACAGGATGAGGGTGACACTTGATGTGTGGGCAGAGAACGGACAGAGAGTGAGCAGTCAGAAAAGCAGCAAGAGCCTAGAGAGTCTAGAAAGTCCTATGTTTTTGACATAGGTAAATATGACTGCTTAGCACATGATAATTTTGCTTTTAAATCACACAATGCTCCCTTCTCATCCTTCTACCTAAAGACATGTACACACACACACACACACACACACACACACACACGGCCTACCTTCACTAATAGCATTCTGTTCTATATTCTACTTAGGAAATAAATACTTCCAAGAACTGTAGAGAAAGACTCTTAGGAGCAGAGAACCAAAAAGGATTTCAAGAGCCCATTTGGTCCATCTCCTTGCCAGTAGGGGCATTTCCTAAATCATCCAAAGAAAAAATTGTCAATTCTATTTTTGAAGTATCTCCACAGATGGCGATTCCATAAGCTTCCCTGCTAATTTGCTCCAGTGTGTAATCAGTCTGAGACACAAAGTTCTTCTTTACATCTAACTCAATGCTCTCTTGCTATAACTTAGAATCTATTTCCTCCTCAGAGGTGGAAATGCAAGGCAATCTAAAACCCCAGAAAGCCCCAATCAAATGTTCTCAATCTTAATTGCTGGAAAAATGCATGTGGTATTTTTTTATCCTTTGTCAATAGCATGCAATTTGGTCCAAATGAGAAGAAAAGGCATCTACTCCTACATCTACTGCAGACACTGATTAAATAAATGCTCAAATGCCCTTTGCTTTGAAAATGGATAATATATGAGGAGACCTCATTAGAATTACTAAACCACCATTTTCCCAGAAAAAAAGCCCCATCTAAGAATTTTAATGAATCTTTTTGGAGAACTCTAAGCATTTTATCTATAATGTATAGGATAAAGTGAAAAATCTTCAAATGTGTATAGATTGTTTATAAGTATTATAAACACTATCTTAATTTGCTATCCTTCTTTAATAATGTCATTGGATAAATTGCTTATTTTTCAAGCCAGAAATCTATAATAGTGTCATTTTTAATTTTTATGAATGCTACCTGGCAGAAAAAAAAAGAGATCTACTGAAATAGCTGAAAAAGAGCTCAAGATGAAAACTTTACATTTTGATATTATTTTTAACATTGGTTTGGGCCAATCATTTGGGACCTCTACTGTGTAATATTTCATGAACTGCAGTAATATGGCTGAAATAATACACATATTTATTGAGAATATAGATGCCAAAAGTTACAAAGCAGAGTTTTAAAAGCTTTTCCTATTGTTCTAATGAACATTCTCAGCAACTTCTTAGGAACAGAGTTGTCTGAGGCCTCCACATTCACCGATGCCAAAGGAGAGGTGGTCACACCAAAGTTAGAGGCATGATTATCAAGGAAAGACGACATGACTTTCTCTCATAGCTGGAAACAATCCAAAATAAACAAATAAGAAAGTAAAGCATTAGCTCCAAGATATTTAGAGACCAATTCCCAGCAGTTTTTTAAAGTGCTATGAAGAACACTGCATCAATGAATATAGAAAAGTATTATTCAGTTGTCACACAGACACAAACACATACACACACACAATCCAAAAATGAAGCTGTGCTCTCAGTTGAGAGAATATACTGTGCTATATTTGTTTTTACTTACAAGGCTAACCTCTAGACTTGTAAGTAAAAGAAACAAAAGCCACCACTATTGCAAGGACAGGAAGCACAAGAGCCTCTAGAAAACATGCTCTTGCATCTACTGGGAATTTTCTTCCCACTCTTGGGTTTTCTTCAACACTTTAATTTTTAAGACTCACTTTGGATTACATCTACTCAGAAGAGGCTATTCCTGAGCTTCTTATTAGGCTGAGGTGCCCCTGTTCTCCATTCTCCAGCTATTTCTGATACTTAACCCATACTGAGATGAACTGCACTATATATATATATATATATATATATATATATATATATAATTTATTTATCATACTTTAAGTTATGGGGTACATGTGTAGAATGTGCAGGTTTGTGTACTACATTATATTTTAATTATTCTGCCCCTTGTCCATTTTTCCTACCCAGTATCAATCACAGAGGAGAACATCTTACCCATCATGTCTGTATATCCAGTGGCTAGCACGTTGCATTTATAACATATGTCAAACATGTGAAAATCAAACAAACACATATATGGCCATCGAAGTCTTCCCTGCTACTCTATTTGTTGATGTCTTTCTTAGTTGAGCCTTTCTGACCTTTCAACTGGGTTAACGTTATAGAATGAACTGAGTACCCTCTAAACTTCATATGTTGAAGCCTGAAGCCCCAGGACTTCTGAATGTGACTGTATTTGACAAAAGGACCTTTAAAGATGTGACTAAGATAAAGTGAAGCTATTTGGGTAGGTCCTAATTCAGTCTGATTGAGTCTCTTTGTAAGAAGAGTCACAGGGATATGCAAGCACTGAGACACGACCAGGATGAAGACAACAGGGGGAAGGCCACTGTCTGCAAGCCAAGGAGAGAAGCCTCAAAAGAAACAAACCTGCAGACACCTTATCTTGAACTTCTCACCTTCAAAACTCTGAGAAACTAAGTTTCAGTTGTTTAAGTCACCCAGTTTCCTGAAGTTTTCTTTGGCAGCCCCAGCAAACTAGGGCTCTTCTTATACAATCTATAGGACCTCACTGCTACTTTGGTTTTGCTAATCACATTTCTAATATTTCGTTTCAAACTACTTCCCCACTTAAGGGCCCATGAGAAAAAAACAAAACCAGTTTAGGTCTTTCAAAAAGAGAATTTAATTAAAGGATTTGACCACATGGATTATGAAGGCTGAGAAGTTAACAGAGATGGTAGGCAACATAGAACAAAAGTCACCGCTATTGCAAGGACAGGATGCACAAGAGCCTAGGAAGGAGGAGGCTCGGTCAGGGTTGGAGCCAGGCAAGCAGGAGATGGAGTTTAGAGGAAAGTCAGCCAGTGCCTGAGACAGAGAAAAGAAGAGGCAAGGGCTCTCCTTTCTTGTGTTTCCCCAGTGCCTGCTGCTCTCGAAGAACTGATCAAGAGCCATTTGGCAGGGGAATCTTGGAAATGTAATCTATAAGGATTACCTTTCTCTTCTCTCCCACCTTCAGAGGAGCAGGGGAATGGTAAGAAATGCATGTGCAAACAAACAGTTAAATGATGGGCACAGTCCCGAGAATGTAAGTAATATGATGGCTAGAATCATATCTTTCTGGTTCCTGCTTTAACTCCAACTATTGATAAACACTGTACAATATGTATTTGGTATTTAACGGAGTTGTTGAATTAATTTAGCCCAATGAAATTCCTATTTCTAATTTACCAAGTTCTCTGACATAATTAATATATTATGTGTCTATAACCCCCCCTCCAGAGAATAATATTAAAGAGACAGAGATTTACTATGTTTTCTTTTTTTTTTTTTTTTCCACTGACTGAGTGCTAGCACTTACAACATGTCTGGCTAGTAGTATACACTCTATGTATTTGTTGGGCCAATGAATACAAGTTTGTTTAATGAAAAAGCCCAACTTGCCATCTTCCCTTTCCTCGTTTTTAAGAGAAGGGTCTTGCTATGTTGCCCAGGTTAGAGTGCAGTGACTATTCACAGGCTCATAGTGCACTATAGCCTCAAATTCCCGGCCTCAAGGAATCCTCCTGCCTCAGCCTCCTTGGTGGCTAGGATTATGGGCATGTGCTACCGTGATCAGCACCATCTTCTTGATTAAGGTGTGAGGAACTGGGTCATGAAGTAAGTGCCTCCTGAGTTTAGAGGAAAAATGGAACTGGTTGTCATTCAGGTGAGTCACAGAGACTTCACTGCTTTGCCACTATCTTAACAAAGAGTGACGACTGCCTGCAGCTAAGGAAAACTGCAACATCAGAAGCACCAAAGCCTCACAAAGCTTTGTGACAAATTTGCATAGGCATGGAATGCATAGGTATAGCTGCTAACATGAAAAGCCATATCTGAAGGCTGAGGTTCCAACTTGAGATATAAGGATTTATCTTAATAGACCAGACATTTGAAACTTTATAGCACTTTTATGGGATTATAAGGCATGCAGGTCAAATAGGTGATACTCCAACTGAAAAAAAAAAAACATATAACAATGTGATATAGGGCATATATGTTATAACATATACAAGCTGACCTATGTTTAAACCTAAAACATTACATTAAGTTTCAAAGAATATTGGGGGAAAATTGTATTAGGGAAATCAGAAGCCTAAAGAAGAAATATCAGACTGAAGTAAAAGGAGGAGAAAGGCTTAGTGGGAAGAAGGTTATTTAGCCAATAGAGAAACTTGAAATGAAAAATGGGGGAGTATCCCTGTGAATAACTATTTAAAAGCATAAGAATTCAATGAGAAGAAGGTTTAAATCCCTGCTATCTCACTTATTAGCTGTATGACCTTAGGCATGTTCTTTGCACCTCAGTTTTCTCATCCAGAAAATGAGGATAGTAATAATATCTACCTCATGGGACATTTATGAGGATCACATGAAAAAGATACAGGTAAGAGGCTTAGGACGGTGTCTGCACACAGTGAGCACTCAGGGATGTTAGCAGTGTGTGCTGTTATTATCTTCAATGAAGCTTGCAGAAAAAGAAAGAAATACATTCTGCAAGTGTTAAGTTGGGTGTCAGAATTTCCTCCAGGCCAGGTTTGCAGAAAAGATTTACGTAAAGAATGTATGAGCTATTCTTGTAAGGTAGAGTAATTCCAAGTCTGTTCAGACTTGAAGGCTAGAAGGTAGACTAATTCTCCACATTCTCCCTCAAATGACCTTTCGAGTTCTCCTTCAGCCTTTCCTTACATAAAATGCATAATTGCCCTTTCTGGCAGTTCCTAGAAAAGTGCTATTTCCAACCCTTCTAGGCTGCTCTGGATGGAAAATGCCCTGGGTTCTCTGAGACTTAACACCCCGCCTTGTGAACATGAACAAGATTATTCTCTCTGAGCAGCTCTTTTCACATGTGATAAGCTTGGCAAGTTGCCCTGGTAAGTGTCAAGCCCTGAATGTTTTTGTTTTTGCCCTGGTGGTCCTGAGGAGTTACTGGAATACTTCTGGGGATCTGTTTTTTATCAAACTTTTGGCCCATAGTGACATTGAGAAGAAGCAGGTAGAAACAGAGAGCAGGGCTCTGGACTGCATCGTGTTTAATTCTGATAGCAGACTCCCTGTCTGCCCTGGCCGCCTTAAAGCTTCCTTCGGTCTTTTTTTGGTCCCTTTACTCTGTGTTTCTCAATATTACAGGGCAATCTTGTGTGTGTGCATGTGTGCGTTTTCTCCGTTCTGCTCCCCAGAGAGTCTTGTCAAAACTCCTTATCTGTTGATGAATGAAAGGAATCTCTCCTGTGCGGCAGGGACCTGGTTAATGCAGCTCTGGCTCAGCACGGGTGGGTCACCGAGCTCAGGGAGCACCAAAAGGAAAAGCCCACTGAAAATATTGCAATTGCTGTCGTGCCAGGAAGTGCCATCAGCAAGCATTTTCCTCCAGGCAGATGGGGGGATGAGAAGAGGAAAGGCTAATGGAAGCAATCTTGAGTTAATTTACTCCACTGGGGAGAGAGACGCACAGTACCGGTTAACATATTTCGAGTTTGCAGCATTTAGTCTGCTTTGATACTTGAAAACATGTGCTTAGGAGTTTGACTATATTTTAGAGCCAAATAAGAATCAGCACCACTTCTTTTTCATATAGGACTTTTTGGTTATTTAAACTGAGATTTCTTTTCTTAATTTCTTCCAAACCTCAATCATCTGAAACTTTTTCCAATTATACAAAGCAAAGGAGACTAAACTGCTATATCCATTAGCATATACATTCTGTAATACCTCAGTTATGCTCTTAGTATCTCACATAGTCACCTGCATGGTGTGATGACTCATTTCATATGTAGTGAAAGATTCATTCAAGGAATCAGGGAATGGGTCCCCCGCTTCTGCCAGGAAGCTTTGGTGTATATGGCATGATTGGCCATACAAATCCTGAAGAGGAAACTGCTCAAGAAAGAAAGCAAGCTTTCCTAGTTTCACAATGTGACCTATGGATTGTGAGGGGAGATGTCAGGAAAGACACAGGTGGTCGCTTAGTGATTCTGCTAAGATGCTTATGATGTCTGTAACATTCTCATGATTAATTTACTAAGTACCTGCAAATTAATAATGTGTAAGGAATTCGCCCTTCTCACAGTCTAGGGGAAAGCCTTTATGAGTGTAGCACGAGGACCATAGCACATAAAATCAGGAGACCTGGGTTTAAATCCCAACTTCACTTCTTTTTTAAGGTGACTAGCTTCTACTTAATCACTCTGAACCTCCCAATATTCATCTACAAAACGAACATAGGAATAACAGCTACCTGACTTACATATAAAGATATTTAACTTTAAATTTGTTTCAATCCAGTCATTCATTTCCAGAAGGATTTGTAGCTCATATACCTCTAAACTAAAAAAAAAAAAATAAGAAAAAGAAAAAAAAGTTTATTTATTTGGAAAAAAATTTTAAAACCTTTTCAATAAAAAAGAAACTTCTAGAAAGCTTACCAATTTTATTTTCAGGAAATAGAAAGTACTTTCCGAGTGTGGTGGCTCACGCCTGTAATCCCAGCACTTTGGGAGACTAAGGTGGGTGGATCACCTGAGATCAGGAGTTTGAGACCAGCCTAGCCAACAGGATGAAACCTCATCTCTATTAAAAATACAAAAATTATCAAGGCGTGGTGGCGGGCACCTGTAATCCCATCTACTTGGGAGGCTAGGGCAGGAGAATCACTTGAACCCAGGAGGCAGAGGCTGCAGTGAACTGAGCCTACACCATTGCACAACTTTGGCCTGGGTAAAAAAAAGCAAAACTCTGTCTCAAAAAACGAAAAAAAAAAAAAAAAAATGAAAGAAAGTTATTTGAAAGAGTCCTCCTTGTTCAGAAAGAATGCTTTTCTGAAATAGACCATTTTCTGCCCCTTGATGTGCTGTCTGCCAAACAGAATGAAGGGAGCATAATTGTATTTCTTGTACTACCTGAATGATGTAATAGTCTTATCATGTGACCAGTAATCTAGTAAATGAGAGATCTTAACTCACAATCCAAGAAACATAGCTAAAAATAAAGTCCATCTATTTCTGCTCATTGCATTCAGAAATTAGACTTTGGGTGATGGGGTGATTTTTATTTGTGGATGATGAAAAGACTAAGAATTTGGGGCTCATGCTTTCTTCTCCATTCCACTGTTAAATCTGCCTCTGCATCTGCTGGTGGAGCTTGCATTGTTTGTTCCTCTGTTACATTGACCTCTAAACCCACAATCTGAGAAAATGTCTTTCTAAAGAAAAAGTATTCTTTTATTTTCTGATAACAGAATTTGATTCATTTTCTCCTTTCTGTTAATTCTCTCCCAGAAGTCCTAACACTGGCCTAGTTCCTTTTAGTTATCATCTTCTGGGGTGTCATGAAGACATTTCAACTTGTATCTTCGCCTGTGACTATCCTATTTCAGCTCACCTTTTGGCAGCTTCTTGTGCTTTTGCTTCTTTCTCTTCTCACAATCAGGCCTCACATTGTGCTAAGACAAATACAGCTGTGATGCTAGAACTGGCTGCTGCTCCTTTTTCATGATGCAATTTTACATAGAATGTGCCAATGGCCATGCACACACAGAGACAAACTGTACAGTGGTAAATAACCCCTCATCAATTGAGGTGTACCAAATACGACAAATCCTCTTATTGTCAGAGTCACACTGTCCATGCTGAAGCAGACCTTAGAGATCTCTTCCAACTGCCTCATTTTGTAGACAAGGAAACTGAACTCTAAAGAAAGGAAGAGTCTGGCAGAGGTTGTAGATAAGAGTTATTTATGAGCTTTAAATGTAAATCTCGGGCTTAAAACACTAATTTGAAATAAAACAGACATTTTTAAAACAGAGAGATGAACAAGAGACAAATAAGAAAATTTGGAACCCAAGTGGCTGGTATTGGGAAAGAAGTGAAAAATTGTTATGTGTATAATGAAAAGAAAGCACAGGAGAGTAGAGACAAGAAGTGTTTGAAAAGGAAATTAACCAGACAAAAAGTTAAGGAGCTAACAATGAGAAATTAAAGGGCTTAATAAGGTAACCAGTCTAAAACTGAAAGGCCCAATTTTGGAAATTATGTGGACTGAGAAACTTCAAAAACCAATGATGAAAGTTTATTTCTAGAAATAAGGAAAAGAAAGCTCAAGAGAAAAGCTCAGGATCTTAATAGCTTAAAAGAATAATTTGGGTGAAATCTTGAAAGTGACTGCTCTTTCCTTAAGTGAATTAAGGGAAATAGACGTGTAGTTTAACTTTGTGCAGAAGTACCATACAATAGTTTGTAACCAGACTCGTTTAGACAAAACAGAGCTAACTATGCATGATTTGCTGACCTGTAAGCAGTGTGAAATCCAAGCTTTTACACTCTGAGATACAGTAAGTCTTGCGGCCTAAATAACTGGCTGTGCATGAAATTCTGAAGACCATGCTCTCATATGTAGACTTTGTTGTTCACTCTTTTGAGTTAGGAGTTGATGGTTGCACTTTTTGCTGTGAGTTTGGTCAATGACAAAATTAACAGCAGTAAAGAAGGGCTGCTAATCTTTTGAGAGTGGCCTGTAAGTGAAAACAACACCAGCAATAAGTAGTCTAAATCTACTGTCAAATAATACCAGAAGTTGGTGATTATGGCAACTTCAAGGTCATGCTAGCAATGCCCATTCCTGTTCTGATTCACCACATGCATAAGCTTTGATGAAAATAATATACAGAAATCAGCTATGCTCTTTATTGCCTATGAGACTGATAGATCTTATAACACCTTCTGGAGAGTAAGGCAGGTGATGAAACACATGATGTTTACTATCATGAAAATATTCAATAACTATTTAGAGAGTCCTTACATTTTATAAGAGATCATAGAGTATTAAAAAATAATTATGTGAAATTGAGTGAGTTTACGGTCTGTTGTACTTTATAGATTTTAGCTATATGTACCAAATAGCAGCTTGCCTAGAGTACAAAGCTTTCCTTCTCTCTGAATTAGGCAGATTTGGGGATTTTTGAACAAAGTAGTGTCACCATATAGGTGACATTGCTATTTTAGTCTTTAGACAACATTTATTAAAAAATAGAAATGAAAAGAATCTAATAAGATAGCATTATGCTATATTACACTACAAATTATAGATATACATAGCAATTTTCAAAAGAAAAACGTATCCATAATAACTATGTTAAAATCTCTACATAAAGTCAGCAAAACAAGAGAAAATGAGAGACCAGAGATATGAAGATGAATTATTCAGATTTACCAAGTGTCACTCAAGCTGTTCTGTTTCAAAGATTCACTCATTAATTTATTCCTTTAGATAATTTTATTAAATATCTACAAGGTACTCGACAGTACAAAATAACAGGACAATGTGTTTAGCCTCCAAAAAGCTAAAAATCTGGCGGTGAAAACTCTCTCTACATGAATATCTATGATGCAATACATGTGGCAATGAAGGTTATAATCAACACCGAGAAGAGGAAAGAAAGGTGAGAGCTATTTCATAAATAAGATGACATTTAAACTAAGACTTAATAGGAGAGGAGACTATTTGCAAGTCAACAGAGTGGGGAAGGACATTCTGGACCCAGATAATAGCTTATACAATGTCATCAAAGAATAATACCATATTCCTAGCTCACATACCTATAAAAACTTAATATAAGAGAGATGTCATTAAAAATTAGTAGGAATAATATGACTATTTAATAATGCTACTGATAAATAAGATATCCCTGTGGGAAAAAATAAAGTTAAACCCCTACCTCACACTGTACAGAAAAAAATAAATTCCAGATGGATGAAAAACATGAAAAGTTTAGAAAAAATATGAAATATATTATTTATAACCTTGAGACAGGGTAAATAAGAGAAAAATGCACATACTATTAAATAAAGTATACAGCTAAGTATATTCAAATTTAAAC